TAAATCATTGGAAAATACTTATTCAATCATTTATGGCACTATAATAACATTTTGTAGTGATTTTGGTGAATATTTTATAAAAACATATATCTGACATCCAAGGTCAGACAGCCTAACTTAAGCAATGGAGCACTCACATAACTACTACATTAGAAGTAACATGAAAAACAATACAAGCCTCGGGTCTATTCAAGCTACTCTAGCAAAACTCCATTAAGAAGTGACATTTTTCGTTTTCACATATGCCACAAATCTCTCTAATTGGTGTATAATATGCCATTGGCTACTAGTGATAGATGTGTACTGAATATTAATCAGCGCAGGGTCATTATTACAGAGATTGATCTATATAATATAATATTACTGCAACGTATTATTATTCTTTATTCAACACAACCTGTAATAGTAAAGCAGTATGGCCTCAGTAATTACAATGGGAAACATTCTACTGGTTTCATAATTGAGGGAATAAATTTGGAAAAACTAATGGGATTTTTGTCTGAAGCATTCAGCAAATAAAATAAATATAACACTTGTTGTATAAAAAGAGGGAGGATTCCTGTCAATTTCCGGAATTAATACACTTACCGGTAATAAGTATCACAGAATAAAGGAATACAAAAGTTACTATACACTATCCTATGCACTTAAGGTAGCAAGGGTATATTTAATCAAAAATGCACACATCAAGTATAAAAAGTACATTTTCTGACTGAATGTTTACTGGTGGTTGGCAACAGAATCATGTTGCTTGTTGAAGTTTTTAGATGAGCAGAAAGATGTTTGAATGACATACGCGAAATTCAGTGGAAAGATAAATAGCTTTTAATAAACTGAAACACTATAGAGCATAGCATCCTTGAGAAACAATGCTATGCAAATTGAGTAATTACTTTGCAGATTTTGACCTAAAACTATTCTACTCAGTGGATTATCCTCACAAAGACATGTGTCAAATTATATTGGAATTACTTATGTTGTCTGTGTAATGCACTTACATATACTAAAACTTGCATAGTTAAGACTAATTTAATTAGATAACTAATTAGAAAAAAACACATCAGGTCTGAGTGGTTATCCCAAACCATCAATGTACCAAATTTCATTCATCAAAATCCAATGTGAATCATTTCGTGAAAAATAGTTAGCCGTTTTCCAGTATCTCTATTTTCCTCCCATTTGTTGCAATAACAACAGAGAGAACTTTGAATATGGAACATTTCATACTTCCTAGACTGTGTTCTGAAGTAGGATTTAAAACAGCATTGCATGAAAGATCATCATTTCAACACTTCTATAAAAAAAGTCAAGATGTTGTTTTTAATTTGAAAATGCATTTCAAACTGATTGTTTTTAATTTCAATATTTGCTTCAGTGAAAAGTTTGAAATTGTGAAAATGAGAACAGACAAAATTGGAGTCATCTATAATCAAATATTAACCTACACAGATGATAAACTTTATTATTATGAAATTCTAAGAGGAGAATAGCCTTTTAAACAAACCCAGGATATCCATTTACCACAGGAAGTAATTCAAATTGACACAGGAAGTAGTTCATTACTGATAAAATGAAGAATGCAATCATTTCTAGAATGTAATGAAAGATTAAGTCCAATATCTTGAACTGGTTTTATTTGCATCACTAATCAAAACTAATTACCAAATAAACAATGGCTTGTGTATAATTTCTCTTCATCACTGAAAAAATAAATCAATTAATTTGTATAAAAAACTAAATTTAGAAACTAATTATTCAAAATTGGAATTTCAATTATATTTGAGTTTCACATATTAAGGTGCTATGTGTAAATGTCATCCACATCCACAGTGAGACGGTGTTATTATGTGCATACTAAGCTAAGCTTAACCTTAAAATTACATCTCGTGTATTGGTATGTGTTATGTCAAACCCACCTGTTATTCGAGTTATGTGCTTCAATAAAATCAGAGTTGAACTGCATGTCAATCATTTGTTATGTGTTCTTGGATATTGTTTGTGTTTATTGTTATATATATTGTTTTGAACATGTTGTTGTTGTTTATTAGATCCTAAAATACCTGATAGCTGAGTACTTGCAAAATCAATGATACATTTTGTATAGTACAGATATCAGAAGATAAACACTGATTTTACAGATAAAATTTGAAAAACCATATTACAAAAACAATGACGTACTTGAGATGTTAGAACATATAATTAACAAATCTGATAACGTGTATGCATAGCAAATGATGGGTGGGCCCATTCAAATTACCCATGATGCATTGATTCAATCTGGGGATTGGGGAGCCACATTTTAAGAGAAGGAAGTCAAAGTGACCTTCAAATCTTTGTCCTCATGGTCAGTGATGTTAAATCATCAAAAGATGAATATTTTCTAGCAAGAAAAATTTCAGTTTATGATTGAGAATTACAACATTAATTTGAGCCTGTGAACTTAACAGCAGCAAATCATTCCAATTGATGTTGCAAATAACAACATTCTTTGCATGGTCTATAAATGTGAAATGCCTGAGGGGAACCATGACATACAGTGAGCAGTGAGGTATAAAAAAAACAAGCTTGTTGTCAGCAGTGGTTTCTTCATTATGAGTATACTTGAAGTGCATAGTAAATGTAATTCAACATGTCAGCTCAGTAATTCCCACCTGAGACACGTACACTACAAATACTCAGGTGTACCATTATGCTATTGTGTTTTAACAAAGATTAACATCTTACATGTAATTGAAATACACAGATAAATGCAATACACTACTGCAGCAAAGGCATATGTTAATCTGTGCAAAGGTCAGATGAGGCTCCCTGGAGAGGTACATGTACACATTGAACACCAGGGGGCAGTATAACATGTTCAACTGATTCATTTAAAATGAAGTCCAAAGAATAATTATGTGACTATGTTGCAGCCTATGCCAATTCAGTAAGACTATAATCACTATCATAAGTATAACAATTTATATGCTATATAAAATTGTAATCTATCTCTGCATAGCAAATGACATATGTATTGCTTGTATCTGCATCAGTTTTGAAATTGCCATGTGGACAGATCAATAAGTATAGCTTGCTATACAACCAGTAGTCAACTTTTTATTTTGATCAGTTCATTTATTTTTAATTCTAGTGTTCATTTGTCACAATGTTACTGGAGTATGTTGATTTAATTATGCAAGCCAATATTTATGGAGAAGTAGGTCATTTAGATCATTAGATTTGAAAAACGTCAATGTAAATGAGAGTCAATAACTGTTATTGCCTGTGAAATCATATGATGTTATGAACATTAAACCTTAAAATAAGTGTTTGAAACAGAAATGTTAATCTAGAGAACAGGGTAGGGACGAAAAAAAAAAAATTGCCATTTTAAATCAGATTTTGAATATGAAACCTGGTTGTCATGAAACCTGGCTTGAAACTGAGTGACATTACGGTAAATGAAATTAAAGCATCATACAGTCAGCATATAGGATGCATAGGATCCAAACATGGCCTGACTGTGGTATTTTAAATTTATCAAAACAGTCAAATTTACATCCATGACAGAGACAATGAGAAAATATTATTATTATATTAATCTGACCAGTATAAAAAATAGTGTTCATTATATATATTTTGACCATTAAAAAGGTTTTGGTTAATATTCTGGCCATTAAAAAAATAGTGGCCAATACAATGGCCAGAAGTGACTTTTTAAAGGGGTCTGAGGGGTGAAAAAAAACAGAGTTAAAGTGAAATGAAAAATTATTATAACCTCCTCACTAACCTAAAAGTATGAATAAATATTCAAAAGTTGTGAAAATTGAAGCTTTTCGAAACGTGATGGAATTTCCAAAAGTAATCCAGACACTGGTTATAGTGAAAAAGGGATGAATATATAGTATTTTAAAAGTCGTTGAACACACCATTCACTACGTAATTCGTAATGATACATAGAGATTCTAAACTTACAGTTCTGGGTTTGTCTGGTGATTCTTTTGGTGGTGGACTATCAATAGGAATTGTGACCGGACCATCATTTTGAATATTTACTTGCATATATGCACCAAACTCTCCATCTAAATAAAATAGAAAAGATTGTATTACTCAGCAGGTACACAGTGTTTATTAATCTAATCTATTATCTCAATTAATCCAATCAACCTTATTCTTAACTGTGATATTTAGCAGGCGTGCTTTGAATTTCACTAATATCACTTTAACTCTATTAATCCTCAGGTTTCTTACAGAATAAATCATATGACCAACATTAATCTGTGGTAGCAATGTTGCCATGGATACCACTCACATATGACTACTAAGTTATTTGCTTAGCACTGATGATTATACTAAGACATTAGTCAGAAATAATGACATTTCTCGATCATCCCCCCTTTTTTCATTCAGACTATTTGCTGATGACACCAGTCTATTTTATTCCGTAAAAGACCGTTCTGTAAACCTTCACACACTTAATATTGAATTAAATAAAGTTGCTACCTGGTGTAAATCAAATAAATTAACTATAAACATTGACAAAACAAATTTCATGATTTTTCAGACAGCTCAAAGAAAAACAACTATTGAGGGCGTATTATCAATTGATGATTTGTCATTAAGAATGGTGTCGTCAGCTGTTTATTTAGGTGTCACGCTTGACTCAACACTTTGTTGGAGACCCCATATCGATAACATTGTTAAAAAAATCAGTAAAACAATTGGGATAATCTCATAGTTGAGGCATTATTTACCAAAATCCATTATGATATTACTTTACAACTCGTTGATTCTCCCACACATTGCTTATTGTATAGAAATATGGGGACACAC